GGTCTCATTTATATGGCCATGTGTTTCAAGACGAGATTAATTTTCAAGTTGTGGACATTTTGTTTTTGAGTCATGTTTAAGTGATTATATACCATGAGAAAAGTTGGTGTCCAAGATTAGTTAAGATCAAATCATTTTAAGTTTGTGACTAATTCACTCTCAAGGAAAACTTCAAGGAGAGTTTTATCCATTGTTTCAAGACATAAGAAATGCTTATTCCAAACTATCTTTTCAAGACGTGATTTTAAAAAAGTTCAAAATATGATTTAGCTTACATCCAATTGATACATTAATTACTTCTCAACTACAAATTATGTGGAGATTCTCAAACTCAAATTTGAGTAAAGTCATTTATTAATAAAGATACAAGCCCAAATACATGTTATAATACTAAGTTGGTTTATACAAGTCATAAGACTAAGGTTACGATGCCCAAAGTGAAAAAGTGTGTTAAAAATGCTCTATGGCAGCATGTTAAAACTGCTGCATTTTTTATGCCTTACATGCTTAGTCCTTCATGATTGCTCCCAAATAGCCCCATCTTCATGCCAACCCTCAGTAAAGCTTCAAATACATCATCATTCCTCGGGCCAAACAGTATACTGTGAGAAGAAAAGGAAATAAGGCCAGTCACGTTAGCAACCACAACACAAATGACATCAATTAAAATCAAAGTTGAAGCACCGAGTAGTAGAAGACATGAAAATTTGCACATAACTTCCAAGGAACGACACATAATCTAAACCAATGAATGCCAATAATAGCAGCAAGAAAACATGGGTAAATGGTGTTATACAAACATCTCCAGTTAGCAGTAGGAAATCATGAGTATTAATACTACATTAACACACATAAAAAAAAGGAAAGGAGATGATGTTGTTCAACAAGAAAAGTAGTACAATGCAACATTTGGAACTACAATAATTGTTCACAAGAAATATCACAACATCACAAACTGTCAAAGAATCTTACCAAGCTTTAAATATTCTTGACAAAACCTCCAAGATCTCCACCTAAGTCTCTTATCAAGCAATCCAGAATTCTATTTTCTTCATTCTAATGTGCCATCCCCGTGCCAAAACCAATGAACATGAAAGGAATTAGAAACCAGGGATTAATACATTATGCAAACAATGAAGGTCTCTGTACAATCCAAAACTGAATTACAAGAGCAAAGTCATAATGTTAGTAAGAATAAGAGTCAGTACATATGGTTGTTGGGGACAAACATGACTCAAAGGCATACAAAATGTACATAAGCAATGCACCATTCGAAGATAAGGAATACAAGAGCCCAACAGTAGCAAGAATGAACTTTTGGCATGAATTTTCAAAGTCAGAAGGCACATTTTCAAGTACCAAAAAGTACGTAGAGAAATTCATCCATTTACAAATTTCACAACCATATGGTTTCCGGTGGGGTTTTTGTAGAGAAGCTTTGGAAGATGGAAGAAGATAGAGAGAGAGAGTGAAAGTTCACGAATAAACTCATTTCCACAGTTTCTATTTTTTTTTAAATATTTTCCTCTCACCGGGATCGGGATACGTGGGGTGACAAGTGTCTTCCACCGTAACACTTGTCACCGGCGGTTGACCTCCTCATGATCTCGTGCACGTCCCTTCATTTATCCCATAGCATGCACACATCTTTTCAACCATAAGATCAGGTTCAGATGTTAATTTCATGCAGTGAGTTGACTGAGGGTTCACCATGAACCCTCCCCTGCGCTAGACTTTCAGTGTAGTGGGCTTGGGGTTTTTTTTTTATTGACACCCCCTTGTCTGTTTTTTTCTTACCCATCGTTTTTTGTTTTGTTTTTTCTTATATGTTTAAAAATAAAATAAAAAACTTTTAACTAGTTTTCTTTATTTTAATTTTTAAAAAAAATCCAAATATGTTATTAATTAATTTTATTAAAATCTTTCATTTAATATTAATTAATTCATTTAACAATTAGTTTTATTAAATATTTGATTTTAATTTAATTAATTATTTTAATTTAGCTTAATAAATTCTAAAAAAAACCAAAATATATTTTATTTTATTTAACTTTTGAGTAAATTTTAATTTAAACTATTATATCTATTAATTAATTTAACTAAAATTAATCACACTTTCGTCCATATTTTATTTTAAAAAAATATTTAAAAATCATTTTAATTAATTCATAAACCTTTTGTTAGCCAATTCTTAATTAATTCCATTAAATCTTTTTATTTAATATTAATTAATTTTAATAGTTAATTTTATTAAATATTTAAATTTAGTTTAATTAATTATTTAAGTTTTTCATCTCACTTATTTCATTTATAAAATTAAAATTTAGTTAATTTTTTCTGTTTAATATTGGGCAACTAAGAGCATCTCCAATGGTGCTACTCATATTTGGATTCTTTGTGGAACCCATTAAACCACATCATCTTAAAGCAACTCACTTCATTTTTCACTCCAATGGTGCAATTCTAAAGAACTTATATTGGGTCCTACAATTTTACTTTGTATATTAATATTTTATTTAAACTAAATTTTATTTAATTTAAAATAATAATTTAAATTATTTAAATTTAAATTAATATAAAATAAATAAAATTAAAATTAAACATAAAATTTAAAATGATAATTAAAATTAATCTCAAATACATGACATATAATTAAAAACAATAAAAATAAATTACATAACATAATTACTCAAATTTAATTTTCATCGTCCTCATGTCCAAAACGTTCCCAATATGCTCGACTAGATCTCCTTGAAGTTGACGATGAACTTGTTTTTCACGAAGAGTTGCTCTTCTTTGTAGTCTTGTTGCAAGATTCAGATGAGGACCGTTAAATATTCCAGTCGTTGAGTTGTTGTTACCGACATTATCGTAAGAGTAATCAAAATCACCTCCATATGTGTGTCGTTCGTCTTCGACAATCATGTTGTGCAATATGATGCAAGCATATATGGTATGCTTGAGGGTTTCTGATCTTACCTGATCAGGAGGGTTGACAGTCGGCCACGTGTCGACGGTATGGACTTGGATCAACGTCTTTGAGGAGAGACTGGGGGGGGTGTACCTGCAAGGCACTCCGATGCCAAAGTGAGAATTGGACAGAGTGATAGCAAGGACAGAAAAGGTTAGAAAGAGTGTGTACCTGACCCTCTTGTGGAAGAGGGTATTTATAGAGAGACCCCAGCGCTGGGCCAACGGTCATTTGAGTTGGGCTGGGTGAGCAAGCCCAACCCAAATGACTGCTAGGGCTTACGTGGCGTAGTGAAGACTAAAACGTGGTCTTCGCCCTAGTCCAATTGTCCGAGATCTCCGGAAGGTGGTTTGACTTATTCTTTCGGAGATGGGCAGTTGGTTGGTGACGTGTCCCCGCGGAGGGGAGCACGTGGAGAACGTGCGCGAGGAACGTTTGTCCTACCCAGTATCATGTGTCCTGCTCGTTAAGGACATGCTCTACCCGTGGCGGGCAGGTGGTAGTAGGTGTGTCCTCGTGGAGGGGTTCTAGCGGGAAAGATGGATGTGCCCGGCCGGTTGGTGTGCCCGCGCCCGGGTAATGATACCATGTCTGGAAATCTTGGGCCGTGTTGGCAGCATTGGACTGGGCCTGGTTGACTAAGCCGGGGCCCAGTCTGGAACAGTTTCCATGTGCCAAGCACGCGTCGGACCACATATTATTGCAAAACGAGATTGAAGCACTCCGAATGCCCGTTCCACATCCTTTCTAGCTGATTCTTGGTGTTGTGCAAATAGTTTTCTCTTTTCTCCTTGTGGCATCGAAATAGTTTTGACAAATGTAGCTCACTCAGGATAAATGCCATCCACTAAATAATACCCCATATTATAAGGAGTTCCATTAATTGTATATTGCACATTAGCAGCACGTCCTTCCAAAATATCGTTAAACACATTGGATTGGTTTAACACATTAATGTCATTGTTTGAACCTGCAATACCAAAAAATGCATGTAAAGTCCACAAGTCTTGTGATGCCACTGCTTCAAGCATGATCGTGGGTTTACCATGATCACCTCGACAAAACTGTCATTTCCATGCAACAGGACAATTCTTCCATTCCCAGTGCATACAATCAATGGAACCCAACATACCTGGAAAGCCAAGTGACTCACCCATTTGTAAAAGATGTTCAAGATCAGTGTTGTTAGGCTTTCTCAAATACTCATCCCCAAATACAACATTCACGCCCTTAACGAATCTTTCTAAGCACTCAATTGAGGTACTTTCACCGATTCGAACATATTCGTCTACAATGTCAGCGGGAGACCCATATGCCAACATACGAATAGCAGATGTGCATTTCTGCAATGGTGAAAGACCCATCTTACCAGTTGCATCGACCCTCATTTGGAAATATTCATCATGATTGCCGAGGGCATCTACAATTCGAAGAAACACATGCCTAGGCATTCTAAACCTTCTTCGGAATTGTACATCTGTGTATACTGAATTTTCTGAGAAGTAGTCATTGAATAACCGATTGTGCCCTTCTTCACGACCTCAATCTACCGTAGTTCTTCTCTTTGGCCTAAAGGAACTTCCAAATTGACATTCATTTTGAAGATGTTGTTCTTCATCACTGGCATCCATAAATTCTTCCTCAACTAACTCCCAAAATTCTTGATCGTAATTATCTGAATTGTCTAAATCCATTTTAGTGAGGAATAAGAAGAGAATGAGAAAACAATGACATAAGTGGTAGTATATATAATGGTTTGAATAACGGCTAGTTTGAATAACGGCTAGTTTGAATAACGGCTAGTTTGAACAACATAATATTTATTATGATTTAAAGTGGTACTAATGACCATTTTACATAGGATTTGATAAATTAAAGTGGTATAATGACCATTTTACATATAATTTAAAGTGGTACTAACTACAGTCCATGTTTTTTTTCATTTTATTACAATACTTTTCATGAATATCTCGTTGACTTTCGTTCATAGTAGAAGTATCTTTCATCATGATTTGCATTACCTTTAATTCTATCTCGTCCTCCTTACTTTGCGCAAGTCTTTCCATTGTTTCTGCTCTTTTATTCCTTGCATCTTGCGTTGCATTTGAAATTTCCTTTGCTTTACCCTTCCTTTTTGCTGCTTTTTGTCCCATTGGACACTCCATTGGTGATGATGAGTTAAACTCATAACTTGAAGGTGTATCAGGGATCTCCGATGATGCCCCGCAGAAGTCTGTGTCATTTTTGAAGAATTTTCAATCGATTCTCCAATGATGCCCCATTTAGCTTCATCTTTTAACAATCGCCATGCATACTCAAGATTGAATGTTGTACCTTGATCTTGAGCATAAAAAGCATGTGCAGCAGCCATGATATCGTTCTCCGATGTCCCACTTTTCTTTCCATTGACAGCTTGTCTATAACACCCAACAAATTTTTGAACCGACGCATTTATTCGATGCCATCGACATTTTAATTGACCACTTAACTTTTCTCGCAATTGCCCGCGATACTGGTTATAATTTGCAGCGATTCTATGCCAAAAACTCTCAGCTTTTTGATCAACTCCCACAATTGGATCCTTTGAAACATTGAGCCATGATTGGATAAGACATATATCCTCATCCCTTGTAAATTTCTCTCGAGTTTTTTTTAACGAGAACCCTTTCTTCTTTTTCAACACCAACTTGAGTAGAAAATGGTGAAACTTGAGAATTTTGAGGATTACGATTTTGATACATATTTGGATTGTTTGGTGACGGAAAAAATATGGCGGGGTTTGGTGGTACTGATGGAATTTGAGAATTTTGAGAATTAGGATTTTGATAATTTTGCATAAAATTGAATATAGCTTGTTGATAATGAAAATGATTAGGATCCATTTGGCCTAAACAAATGTAATTTGAAACAAAAAGATGAAAATTTTGGTTAAATATTTTGTCAAAAGAAGACTAATGAGAAGAAATTGTAGGAACAAAATTAAAAGTAAAAAAATAATGATGAAATTGTGAGAGAGAAATTTGAAATTTAAGAGAAAATAAAAGTGAGAAAAAAGTTTTGTTGATAATTTTTTTACTAACAACTATATTTATAATAACAAAAAATAAAGTGAAATTTTTTTTTAAAAAAACTCAAGTGGCCGTTGAACGGCTAGTTGAATGAAATATAATTAAAAAAACATTTAGAACCGTTGGCCAGCTGGAGCTCTCTAGCAAGAAGAAAAAAAGTCAATATGCTTTGCCACGTGAATAACCATTGTTCAAGAACCACCATTGGACATGTTCTAAGTTACTAATTAGTTTTAGGTGATTAATTCATGGTTGTTTATGAGATGTTTATACATTATGCTCTTATGTTTGATATCATACTTTGATTACTTTATGCCATTCCATTTTATGCTCATTCAAACCTCATTTTGAAACCAATATCTTGATTTAAAATCAAACCATTTTCAAATACCTTATAAGTCGATTGTTTTCACGATCACCATCGACCTCACATAACCTCCTCTTAGGCTTTATACAATGACACTTGTTACACATTTCACCTGTGTTTTCATGTATATGTGTGATTAGCTTACTTTATTTATGGTTTGATATTGACCCCATTCGAGCAAATGTATCTTCCTCCCATGAGATGTAATGTTTGATATCCCTTAGATAGTTTAACAAAAGATTAAAATCAACTCTTTTCAAAAGAACAAGTAACTTGATCCAACATCAAGTGTTTTCAAAATAAATTCAATTAATCATCAACTCATCCTCGAGAATACTTGATCCGAATATCAAGTTTCACCACCTACTTTGTAAGTCGAGCGTTTTTTCCTCGCCATCGACCTTACCTTATACCACTAGAACCTCTTTTCCATTAGTTCAAACCTTAACCGTTTTCACACGCAAATTCAAACCTCGATTAATATCGAGCATTTTATCAAAGTCAATCTAATGAAATTAACTATATTTAGACCGCCTTTCACTAAAGATAAAAAGGGAGTTGGAATGGAGTCTTCGATTCCTCTTCTCAATTGTTTGGGCCCGAGGAGCCTTCTTAAGTTTAAACAATTGTCTTCTATAAAAAACTTTATAACCCAATTCTACATTAAATTATTTTTATAATAAACGAAATCAAATCTATTTTCTCAATACTTAGATGAAAAAGAGAGAGTATGAAGTCTTTGACTCATTCTCCAGAGTACTTGGGCCCGAGGAGCCTTTCTTAAGCCTCGAGTAATCGTCATTCATAATTTACTCTAACTATATCAAAATACTTTCACAATTAAGTTTGAAAAGAGAGAGAGAGAGAGAGAGAGAGAGAGAGAGAGAGAGAGAGAGAGAGAGAGAGAGAGAGAGAGTTGAATCTTCGATTCACTTTCCCAATCACTTGGCTCGATGAGCCTTTCCTAAGTTTCGAGTGATCATCATCTAATCAAAATATAGACACATTAATTCAACTTCTCGCTGCTGGGTAATTAAAACTACTTCCTAAAAGAATAATGTTTAGTATCCTCTAAAAACTTGTTGATAAAACAAACTAACCAACCATAGCACGATGAACTATGATTCTCTGACTTTTCCATTGCACAAGGGAGTACGTAGGCACAAGGGACCCAATCCTTGGTGATCACTCTAATAAAACCACCAATTTCCCCCCTTAGAAGTGAATCCTTTGAAGATAAAAAATAAGTTTAGCTAACTCTTTTCACGAATCAAATAAAGAGGTTCCCATTGAGTACAACGGACGTAGAGGGTGCTAATACCTTCCCTCTTGCGTAATCGACTCCCCAACTTTTAATTTTGTTGCGAAGACCATGTTCTTATCTCTCTTAAAGGTTTTATAAATATTTTCTTATTCCTTCCTTGGAATGAATAAAGTTCGGTGGCGAATCTGTTCGAACGTTTTTTCTGCGTCCATCATGAGGGTCGTATTTTTCGAGGTACGACACCTATCAAGATAGGTCCATGCTTATTTCATATTGCTTTTCAGGTCATGGATATTAGTCCTGCTTACAGTTGTCTTTTGGGACGCCTTTAGATTCATGAAGCCGAAGCTGTCACTTGGACACTTTTCAAGCAAACTTGTTATTGTTGGTAGAGAGGATTCTATGTTGGTGAGCAGTTTGTCATATTTTTCTTATATTGATGCTGATGAGGATTTTGGAACTCCGTTCCAGGCTCTTTATGTAGTTGATAATGTTGTTAAGAAGAATAGAGTGTCCATGTCTTCTCTGAAAGATGTAGAACATGTGTTGAAGAGTGGTCAAGCTAATGGATGGGGTTGAGTCATTGAAGTTGCTGAGAAAAAAGATAGAGCTGGTTTGGGTTTTGCACATGGTTCAACCCGTAAAGTGTTGAAGAGTATTCATGAGGTTTTTTGAAGTTCTAGGTTCATCGATACCAAAGATCATTCTACAGCTGCAATTCTTGAAGATGACTCTGAAGATTACATCTCAGACGGTTTTAAAGATGATTTCATTCCTGCTCAAGACCGAGAGCCTTATTTGGAAGATCCTAGACACGGTTCTGAGACAGAAGATGCATATGTACCATTTTACTCTCCTCCACTGAGACTTAAGGAACCTGAGTATAAAGTCAGTGCCATTATTGAGGACGATCAAGAGTAGGAATCACCTAATTGTGACGCATGGTTTGATATGCCAAATTGGATCGCTGTTGACATTCCTACTGTTTTTCATGTTTCAAAGTAATTTGTTTTTGTGATGGTTTTGTTTCAACTATTATCATCATTAATAAAATGTTATTCTATTTATCGATATTTTATTTTCCCTTTTTGCTTTATTTCTGAAAAATGGTAACATAAAAAACCAAAAATATTGATGTGGTTATCACTTTTATCTGCATAATATTTGCACTTCTTGTTCATATTCTAAAATCAAACATAAATCATTATGCAGATTGTTTGTTAAACCCATTGAAAACAATTACCCTTTACCCTCTCCCGACTTTGAGTTCCCTGTATTTGGAACAGAAGAAGGCGATGTTGAAGACATTCTAGATGAAATTTCCCAATTGCTTGAGCATGAGGAAAAGACCATTCAGCCTCATGAAGAGCCAGTGGAATTGGTTAATTTGGGTTCCAATGATGATAAGAAAGAAGTCAAGATTGGGGCACTACTTTAGTCAGATGCTAAAAAGAGGATGGTAGAGCTTCTTAGAGAATATATTGACGTGTTTGCTTGGTCCTATCAACACATGCCTGGTCTTGATACTGATATTGTGGAGCACCATTTTCCAATGAAGCTTGAATGTCCACCGGTGAAGCAGAAATTAAGAAGAACATATCCTGACATGGCTTTGAAGATTAAAGAGGAGGTTCAGAAGTAGATTGATGCTGATTTTCTTGTCACTACTGAGTATCCTCAATAGGTGGCTAATATTACGCATGTTTCAAAGAAATACGAAAAAGTATGAATGTGCATTGACTATAGAGATTTGAATAAAGCAAGTCCGAAAGATGATTTCTCACTGCCACACATTGATATGCTGGTAGATAATACTGCTAAGTTCAATATCTTTTCCTTTATGGATGGATTTTCTAGTTATAATCAAATAAAGATGGCACCTGAGAATATGGAAAATACAACATTTATTACACCCTGGGGAACGTTCTATTACAGAATGATGCCCTTCGGTTTGAAAAATGCTGGTGCAACGTACCAGAGATCTATGACCACTTTGTTCCATGATATGATGCATAAATAAAGTTAGGTCTATGGGGATGATATGATTTGTAAGTCGAAGATTGAACAAGATCATATTGAATACTTATTTAAGTTGTTTCAATATTTGAGAAAGTTTAAGCTCCGTTTGAATCCTAATAAATGCACTTTTGGTGTCCGTTCTGGAAAGTTGTATGGTTTTATTGTCAGTCTGAAAGGCATTGAAGTTTATCCTGGTAAAGTTAAAGCTAATTAGGAAATGCCCGCGCCCAAAATAGAAAAACAAGTAAGAGGATTCTTGGGAAGTTTGAACTATATCTCTCGATTTATATCCAATATGACTGCCACATGTGCACTGATCTTCAAGCCTCTCAGAAAATATCAGAGTTGTGTTTGGGCAGAGGATTATCGGAAAGATTTTAAAAGAAGTAAAAAGTATTTGCTTGAACCTCCTATTTTGTCTCCTTCCATGGAATAAAGAAATTTGATCATGTATTTGGCTGTGCTGAAATAGTCTATGGATCGTGTTCTGCGTCAACAAGATGAATCTGGGAGAAAATAATTTTCCATTTATTATTTGAGCAAGAAGTTCACCGATTGTGAGTCTCGGTACTTAATGTTTGAAAAGACATGTTGTGCTTTAGCTTAGGATGCTAAATGTCTCTTCCAGTATATGTTGAATCATACAATTTGGTTGATATTTACAATGGATCTAATCAAGTATATCTTTGAAAAGTATGCTTTAACTAGGAGGATTGCTCATTGGCAAATGTTGTTTCCAGAATATTATATCGAGTATCGAACTTAAAAAGCAATAAAAGGAAGTATTTTGGCTTATCATTTGGCACACTAGCCAATTGATGATTATTAACCTATCCGACTTGATTTTCTTGATGAGGATGTGATGCATCTAAAGGTTAAATATTGTGAGAAACCATTACCTAAAGAAGGGTCTGAGCCTGGATCCCGATGGGGCTTGACTTTTGGTGGAGCTGTTAATGATTTTGGCAACAGTATTAGGGAAATTATTGTTACTTCTCATGGTTCTCATATTCCTTTTACTGCAAGGTTGGTGTTCACTTGCACAAACAATGCAACAGAGTATGAATCAAGTATTATAGGCTTGGAAGAAGCTATTGATTTAAGAATCAAGATCCCTAATGTATATGGAGATTCAACCCTGGTGATTAATCATATTAAAGGGGA